ATCTTTTCTCTTTCAATCAGTTAAAGAATAGCTTCAACATCTTGTTTCTTTTCGAAGATTCTTCAATAACGATATGTGAATTTACTGACCAGCTAGACCTAGTTTTGTGTATGTGTTAGGAGTGCATTTGTATTTTTTTTTTTTTAAATTTATCTAATGGGCTCAAATTATTTAATTTATTTAGTACTATTGACTAATGATTCTTTTCATAAATCCATGACAATAACTAGAGCCCATTATTTTTCTAACTTTGGGCTTCGCCTAACATTGAGGCATTTACCGTTTAGTTAGATCTAGTTTTTTATATGTGCTAGGTGTCCAATTTGTATAAAGCTCATACCTTTTTTTCTAATTTATCAAATGAGCTAGATCAAATTATTTAAACTTTGTTTATTGACTAAAGATTTTTTTTCATAACTGTACGACAATAACTAAAACCCATTCTTTTTCTAGCTTTGGGCATTGCCTAACAATGATGCAGTCCTGATCAATTGTGAACCGATTAGTCATTTAAATTCTTTTATGTGCTATACAACTAGGTTAAATTTTATAACCCTATTAACACGCAAATATATGATTTGAATGGATAACACTTACATAGTATACTGAATCCTGGTTAGTCCAATGGTCCAAAAATATGGAGTTATTTTCACTATCTTGTGGTACTTCATAGTAGAATTTAGTCAATACAATGTTTTGAACATCATAATAGAAATTATGTTTACTTTGTGATAGACTTGGTTAATAGAAATAGACTTGAGAAAGCATATTTAGACATCAACAACTTGAAAGTCTTGGGAGGAAGAGCTTTTGTGAATAAGTCAGTCAACTGAGTGTCTGTGGTGACATGAAAGAGTTTCAAGAAACCTGCTCTCAGGCGATCACGAACAATGTGACAATCAATTTCTATATGTTTCGTTCTTTCGTGAAAATACTGAATTTGAGGCAATGTGAATTGTTGCAGTACTGTCACAATAGAGATTAGCAGGACCTGAAACTTTGATGTGAAAATCTTTCAGTAACTGAGCAAGCCAGATAAGTTCACAACTTGTGTCTGCTAAGGCCCTGTATTCTGCTTCAGCACTGCTCCGAGAGGCAATTTGTTGTTTCCTGGATTTCCAAGAGATTAATGAATCTCCAAGAAAAACACAATAGCCTATTTTATTAGAATATGGGCTTCCAACTCAAAACCAATTGGCAATGAGTGGAGTGACCCATATATCTTATATACTAGTCAAGATCCCTTGTCCTTTCCAATGTGGGATAATATTATTCCTAATACGCCCCCTCGAGATGATGGCTCTAGCCATTGATCTCGGTATGCTCGGGCATGGATTGGCGGGCCAACTATTGGGCCAGGCCGATGGTGGATTGGATTAGACATGTATGGATCGGGCTCTGATACCATATTAGAATATGGGCTTCGAACTCAAACCAATTGGCAATGAGTGGAGTGGCCCATATATCTTATATACTAGTCAAGATCCCTTGTCCTTTCCAATGTGGGATAATATTATCCCTAATATATTGTTGAGCGTCTGGTACCTTGACAAGTGCCCCAATTAGAATCTGAAAAGGCCTGCAGCCGCAGCTCAGAATGAGCAAAGTAGAACAAGCCACGTCCTGGGTCACCTTTCAAGTACTTGACAATACGATGAGTAGCTTCAAAATGTAGAGTTCATGGTTGTGCCAAAAACTGACTCAATTTATGAACAGCACAAGTAATATCTGCTCTTGTGATTGTCAAATATAATAACTTTCCAATGAGGGCTCTATAGACTATAACATCATGTAAGAGATCCCCACTCTCTGTTGTCAGCTGAATGGTAGAATCCATTGGTGTAGCCACTGGTTTGTTGCCAAGTAACCCAACATGTTCCAACAAATCCAGAGTATATTTACGCTGAGACACAGAGATGCCAGTCTTGTTTCTCGCAATTTCAAGACCAAGAAAATACTTTACTAGACCAAGATCTTTCAGCTTAAAAGCTACATCCAAGAGTGATTTTAAATTTGAAACAGCATCATCACTGTTGCTAGCAGTTAAAATGTCATCAACATACAAAGCAATGAAAGTGTTGTTGACATGATTGACAAACAGTGTATGTTCGGATTCAGATTGAATGAACCCATCTTTCAGCAACACATCAGAGAACTTTTTATTTCACTATCTTGAGGCCTGCTTAAAACCATATAAAGATTTGTGTAATATCCACACAGCATTAGGGGGCAAATTCTCACCTGGAGGAGATGTGTAGCCTGGAGGTAAGTCCATATAGATTTCTTCCTCTAAGTCACCATGAAAAAGGCATTAGTGACATCTAACTGTGTTAAAGACCAACCATGTTTAGCAGCCAAATCCAAGAGTAACTTGACAGTGACAAGCTTAGCAACTGGGAAGTAAGTGTCAACATAGTCTACACCCTCTTGTTGTCATGTATCCCTTAGCCACTAAACGAGCCTTGTACCTGTCCACTGTCCCATCAGCATTATGTTTGGTTTTATAGACACAACGACATCCAATAGGCTGTTTACCCAGTGGCAAAGAAACTACTGAGAAAGTACCAGTATCAACACAAGTCTGTAGTTCCTCATTCATTGGACCATGCCACTTCTCAGATTTAACAACTTCCAGGAAATTCTTTGGTTCAGATTCTGAGGAGATATTCAGAATAAATTGTTGGTAGTGATCATTCAGCTTGGAGTAATCCAACACAGAGGACAGTGGATGTTGCAACAAACATATGTTGTTGCACCAGAATCAATAATCCATGCATTAAAAGTAAGGCAGGATTCCGGAAGAGTTGTGCAAAAGAGGTTACCTGCAGAGGTAGAAGCATAGTTGACACCAGCAGTTTCAGTGATGCTTGGCATTTGACATGTAGCTTTAGTATTGAGCTGAGAAGCTAACTGCTCAAGCTGTTCTAGGAGACAACTGAGCCAAAGCAGTGGATACCTGATGAAAGTGATCTTGTACTGCAGGAGAAGTAGTGAGAACAACACTGCCCACTACATTTTCTTTTGATCTTCTCTGATTCTACATTCTTGGATTATTGTTAACTTGTTGACCATATTGTTGCTATGGAAACTGAGCAGGAGGTCTAGACTGAAACTGTTTAGGAGCAAAATTAGACTGAGAAGCACCTTGTTGAGGAGTAAAACATTGCGGATTCCCATAAGACTAAGAAGAAATCTTGTATCCTGGAGGATATCCGTGTAACTTGTAGCATCTGGTAACAATATGACCTTGTAAACCACAGTATGTACAAACAGGATGTTGACGAGGCTTATATCCACCTGACACTGCTCCAATAACTTCATTATTACCTGAGTAATTATCAGTAGCTTGATTGAAAGAATAACATGATTCATAGGAAGGAGTCTGAATATTTGAGGAACTCATCTGAAAAACAACTGAACCGGATTGAGGAGTTTGCTTTATCTCCTGTTGATGCTCATTTTGAATCACCATATGCAATGCCTTTTCAAGATCAGGCAGCAGATCCATCATAACAATCGATTCCCTGATATTCTCATAAGAATCATTGAGACCAAAGAGAAACTTAATCACAAAGTTTCTTTCAAACAAATCCATCCATTTCTTATCCAAATCACAAGCACAACCACCACACTGACACATTGGAAAATCCTGTGCACTCTTTACTTCTTCCCATATTGTGACCAATTTTGTGTAAAACGTATTAACATCCAACGATCCTTGACGAAGACCAGCAAATTTCTGCTCAATCCTATACAATCTAGGAACATTATTCTCCTTATATCGTTGCAATAACTTTTGCCAAATACCATTTGCAGTTTTCACATAGAGAACACTGACCAATTGTTTTACAACGGAATTCATCAACCAAGATCTCACCACATCATTAACACGAGACCACGCTGCAGCGTCACGATGACCATCATCTGGCTGCGGAAGACTGCCAGCTTATTTCGTCCATTTAACGCCATGATCATCGATTGATGCCAGGAACGAAAATCGCCATCTCCGGTGAGACGATCGAAGACCAACAAGAGACCAGAATGATCATTGCCGGTGAGATAGTATGGGTTATCATACGGATCACGAGTAGCATTCACAACCGCCATAGATCCAGAGAGAAAACGGAGATCGCGAACAAAAGATAAAGAAAAAGAGCAAACGAAACTCAAAAAAGATGAAACAAAGATCAATCCGAGACAAACAGAGGTCGGATCAAAGAAAAAGAAGCTCAAAAGACGAAGATCGAAGCTCAGATCATGGAGATCGAAGAAAAAATGAATGAGAAATCTGTTGCGGAAGGAGAGAATGAAAAATCTGTTGCGGAAGGAGAGAAGCTCTGATACCATATTAGATTAGTAAAGTAAGAGAAAAAAGTGAAAAGGATAATTTCTCATTAATTCTATAAAATGTGTATACAATTAGTTTTTTTTTTTTTTTGTGCGCACCACAATTTGTATTTATACTCTATTTACAAGTGTATAATTATATATTCTAATACTTGTAACAAAGTAGCCCATTTATTAGCTAAATTTGGTTGTCTTCATTGTAATTTCTATTATGATAATATTTATCCTCCTTTTTGTATATGTGAACAATTGTATTAGGACTTTCCTAATTCCTGATTAATATATCTCACTTTCAATGAAAAAAAAAAAAAATAGTTTGTGATTTTTAATGAAATATTCCTTTTCCTACTTTTTTAATTTCTCATTATAATGTTTTCAGTATATTTTCCATAATTTTCTTTTAGTACTCATCATTTCTTCAGTTAGATCATATTTATCCTATTTTATATAAAAACTTTTTAAAGGATACTTACATATATTAAATATTGACATAAATTTTCAATGTCAAATGTGTCATTTTTGGCTTTGTTTGCTTCCCTCCCACTAAACACATTGCATCTTCACGACTGATTCTTCTTCTTTCCTTTCTCTCATCTGATTTTCTTTTCATATTTGATTCAATCGCTGTAATTATTTATTCATTTTCTTGGACTCGTAAATCTCGAGATTGATTTTTTTTTTTCTTCCTACCCACTTAAATCCCTCGTGTGTTTTTTTTGTTTCATGCTCCCACATGCGTCTCTGATCTGGATTTAGATCACAAGAATCTCTCTTTCAACTTCTCTCCTATGACAAAACAACAACACACAAGAAAAGAAGAACATTAAAGTGAATGCTGCAAAACAAAGCTTGAGAAGATTGAGTAAGACGTCATTCATTATCTTTCTTGCAGAGAAAGTTAGAAGTTGAAAAAACACAAAGGTGAGAACTTTCTTAGATCTTTCGATTTCTTGATTTAGACCCACTTTTCGAATTTTTTCATTCCCTTGATTTTAACTTCCCAAAATCCTAATTAGGGTTTAACTCTGTTTCTCCAGTGGTTTGACTTGTACTCAAATCGAAATTTATTTAGGTTGAGATTTTGATCCATTTACTTGATCTGAAGATTCTGATTTTGGATCTCAAATGGAGAACGTTGATGTTTCCAAGTACAGACACAGCTCTGTGCACAGAGCTGTCGCTTCTAAAGACTATGCTGGTCTCAAGGCAATTCTGTTTTCTCTTCCAAAGCCTAAAGATCCTTGTGAGATTCAAACAGAAGCAGCTTCATTAGCCGAGGAAGCAAAATCCGATGACATTTCGGCTGTGATTGATCGAAGAGACGTCCCAAGCCGCGACACGCCACTACATTTAGCTGTGAAGCTCTGTGATTCAACATCAGTAGAAATGCTGATGGTTGCTGGAGCTGATTGGACTTTGCAGAACGAGGACGGTTGGAACGCGTTGCAAGAAGCTGTTTGCAGTAGACAAGAGGCGATAGCGATGATTATAGTCCGGCATTATCAGCCTCTTGCTTGGGCTAAATGGTGTAGGAGACTACCTCGTTTGATAGCTACAATGAGTAAGATGAAAGATTTTTACTTGGAGATGAGTTTTCATTTTGAGAGCTCTGTTGTGCCTTTTGTATCTAAGGTTGCGCCGTCTGATACTTACAAGGTTTGGAAAGTGGGATCGAATTTGAGAGCGGATATGACTATGGCTGGTTTTGATGGTTTCAAGATTCAACGGTCTGATCAGAGTATTTTGTTTCTTGGTGATGGGTCAGAGGATGGTGAAGTTGCTCGTGGATCGCTTTATATGGTGAATCATAAGGATAAAGAAGTGGTGAATGCTTTGGATGGTGCTTGTGGAGTTCCATCAGAAGAAGAAGTTAGGAAAGAAGTGGCTGCAATGTGTAAGAGCAATATCTTTAGACCCGGGATTGATGTGACACAAGCGGTTCTATCTCCGCAGACTAATTGGAGGAGACAGGAGAAGAGTGAGATGGTTGGTCCTTGGAAAGCTAAAGTCTATGAGATGAACAATGTTGTTGTTAGTATTAAGTCTAGAAAGGTTCCTGGTTCATCGGCTGTAGAAGGAGGCGATGATGATCTCTGCGATGTTCTAACAGATGAAGAGCAAAAGCAACTAGAGGCTGCTCTTAAGCTGGATTTACCAGACTTCCCAAATGTCAATGGTGAGAATGGTTTCATTGATGATGATCATCATCAGCAAGATCATATAGAGGTCGTAGATTTTAGTCAAGCCAACAAGAAATCGGAAAAGAAAGGGTGGTTAGGAGGTTGGAGATCAAAGAAAGAGACTAAACAAGAGAAGCAAATTCAATACGCGCCTCCGAGAAGCTCTCTTTGTGTGAATGAGAAAGTAAGTAATCTATTGGGAGAGTCTAATCAGATAAAACCAGGAAGACACTCAGTAGATAATGAGCATTATAGGAAACCAAAAGCATTGGTATCTGATAAGACTCGCCACGAAAGCGAATACAAGAAAGGGTTACGTCCTGTTCTTTGGTTATCTCCAAACTTCCCATTACAAACAGAAGAGCTTCTTCCTTTACTTGACATACTTGCAAACAAAGTTAAGGCGATTCGTCGTCTCAGAGAACTTCTCACCACAAAACTTCCTTCTGGAACATTTCCGGTCAAGGTATGTCGCCGTTTAATGTTAAAATCTAATCTTGATGTTCTTGAAGATGAGTTTTTTATAGAGATTGTTTGTACATGTAGGTTGCTATTCCAGTGGTACCTACAATAAAAGTGCTTGTTACATTCACAAAGTTTGAAGAAATTGAGCCTTTGGATGAGTTTAAGACGCCTCTGTCGAGCCCGACTACTTCTGGCTATGAGAGTCCAGCTGCTGCAACAACTGAGTTCAGCAACTCATCGTCCTCGTGGTTTCGTCGGTCTAGATCAAACAAAGATGGTGCGAGTAGTAAGTCCAAAACATTACAAGACCCATTTGCTATCCCCACTGGTTATACGTGGGTCACTCTTGAATCAAAGAAAAGGAAACAAGAGAAACAGAAACCCAAAAAGGGTGGTAAAAAAGCAGAACAAGATAGCTAATCACTTCCAACTCTTGAGAACATAATACTAATCTACGCAGGTCTTCTTCATGAGATTGGTCGTGATTCGTGAAAAGACATTGAAGAAAGGGTTGTGCTTTTTGTATTGAAGTGATTTACTACAATTTTCAAAGAGAAAGGCATAGAAATTCTGATTCTTTGGCATCATTCTTTTGTAACATACATAGCTCAGACATTTGCAAATGATTCTGTTTTTCCTTTTTACTTTTAAGTGTGATGTAAAAACATTTGTTCTGCTTCTTTTGTATCTGTTTTCTTCTTCTTCTTCTTCTTGGAATATGCAACACCTGATGATTATGGTTTCTTTTATACCTCTCCTCTCTAGTAAGTAAATTTGGCAAAGTGTGTTGATGACCTGAGAAAAACAGCTTTTATACGAAACCGGACCGCTTTCTCAAGAGATATATATATAGTACCGGGTTATTTTATAAGCAGACCCGAATTAGAATCGGAATGTTTTATAAGCCGACCCGAATTACGGTTCGACCGGTATTCTGAATCCTCGTCTCGGTTCAAACAAACGGCGTCGTTTTATTTCGTTGCAAATACTCTCGCCTGAGAAGAAAGAGACCTTCTCTGTCACTTAGAGGCTTTTGTTCGTCGTCGTCGTCTGTTTCGTTTTGGGTTCCATTCAAGTATCTAACGCCGGCGGCAGAGAACACACAATTTTCTGTCTCAACCATGAACAGGTTCAGTATTCGCCTTTCTTAATCCTCCATTTCCCTTAATTATGCCCTCAGTTTTTCTAATTTGAATCTCTGTCTTGTAATCAATTTGTACAATTTGAGTTGTTTTCTTTATCTTTTGCTTATAAATTGATGATGGGTTGCTTTTTAATTTCGTTTTTCCAACTACAACTGTTAAAGCCTCAACCTTTTTTTTGTCGGTGATCATCATGTCAAGTTTTCGGCAATCTCTTAACCTGTTGTTAGAATGTTGAATTTAGATTTACTTATTTATTAGGATCCAGCTTACTTGGATAATAGAGAAGATTATTATATCATGATGCTATGTCTAATGTAATTTTTCTCTAGGACAGGGTGCTTGCAAGGAATCTTAGTAAAAATGTCTGTGGGACAAGGGTTTTGCGGAGGACTTGTTCAACTGTTGTGACACATGAAGTTTCTAGTTCTGGTTCTAATGTAAGTTCCCTTCTTATGCCCTTGTGAGTTCGCTTATCTTGTCTTGGAAGAATCAGGAAAGATACTTGGGACTTTTTAACATGTTGTTGTTATAGTGTAGTATCTAAAATTCTGCTCAGTGCTCACTGTGTTCATATAGTTTGGTTTATCATGTTTTATACTAGTTTTGTAGTTACATTTATTAAATGATTTAGGAGAGTAATGCAATAAGGAATTCTACTGACGATGGTCCACAACATGACATTGCTATTGTTGGTGGTGGAATGGTTGGAATCGCTTTAGCTGCTTCTTTGGGTAAGCAGTTGTTGCCAGTCTTGATGTTTCTTGATTAGCCAGTAATTTATGTTCTGCCAACTAAATAAATAATTGTTCATTTGATGGTATGGTTGTTATTCTTTCAGCAAGCAAGCCATTGACAAAGCACTTGAATGTTGCTATTATTGACAATAATCCTCTTTTGGGGAGAAAAAATATCATAGAGAAAGGGCATCCACCTGATCCCAGAGTCAGTACAGTCACACCTGCAACATTATCCTTCCTCAAAGGTACTTAGTGGATTTTCTCGTTTCTTCCCACAGTTTCTGCTCATAAATCTTTCAAAATGGTGTGAACTTTCTAGAATTGGCTAACAGAAGAGTTCCCAAATGGTAGCATAAGTTTAACTTCGTATACTGATTTTACCACTTAGAACCCATATTTGAGCTCAGTCTTTGTCCTGATCCAGTCCATGGATGTCCTGTTTAGGTATTCATTTGGAATCATGTATTTTGTTTGAATTATGCAGATATTGGTGCCTGGAAATACATTGAGGAACAGCGACATGCGTATTTTGATAAGATGCAGGTAATGATTGTTAAATTTATACATTCCTTCCGAAGCTTTTATATGATGGCGTCTGCAATCTTTTAATTTCTTCAAAGAAAAACTCTTTAAGGAATTGGTTTTCTCTGTCAAATGTTTGTGGTTATAATATTGGTGGAACATGTTATACCGCCGGTTGCCTCTTTACATGTTAGTATAAAGTATCCCTTCCTTTGTTTGATCTACTCTATGAAAGATCCGTATATACTGACAATGATATGCTACACGGAAAAACAAAGTCATTTGTCATGTTTCGTGTTTAGGTATGGGACTATACAGGACTTGGATATACAAGATACAATGCTAATGATGTACATCAAGATGTTTTGGGGTAAGCATATTGCTATATACATCTGCATCCTTGATGATGTTAATAGCTGTGTACTCATTCTTGACATGATCCAGGTGTGTAGTGGAGAATAAAGTTCTTCAGAGTTCTCAGCTATCTTGTGTACAGGTATTTTGCTTTCTTGGGTCCGTCCAAGTTTATTTATCAACTTAATGCAATCTATCAGGTTTTTCTTGGAAGGATATGTTATTTGAGCCAATGCTTATAACTCGCCTCTCCACCTTTTGCATGTTCACTACAGTACTTTTACTCGTTCAAAACCTCAAGCTACCTTTTAATTTGATTTTTCAACAAATGAAGAATAGCTAAAAACTCAACCTTCCAGAAAGCTTATCTATTATCCTTATTACTGGACTGGTCTTCATCTGAACACTCTTATAAATTCTACACTACAGCCAATTAATATCCTTCTTCAACTTCTTAACCAGATAATCCGACTTCATATAGTTATTAGTTTGGCATGTTTTCTGTTTTCTCTAATGGGAGGGCCTGATATATGCAGGAATCAGATCTCCAGAAGACTGTTTACCCCGCAAGGTTAAACGCGATGGATATGCTACCTAGCTCTTCGTTGACAGGTCTAGGTGAAGTACCATCCTCAACAGACTTGTTCATGCGAGGACGCCTTGCTAAGCTGGAGCTAAGCGATGGAAATCACGTCTATGCAAAACTGGTGGTAGGTGTTCTGTGAGACCCCGTCCCGGACGTCTCGGCGTCCGGCGACCATGGTCACACGTTCGTGCCTCTTCCCGGCCAAACCTCCATATTTTTCGCGATTTAACATAGAATTGCCTTTACGAGGCTTACTTCTGTAATCGCTTTCTTAGTACCCAGCGGAAGTCTTTCTACCCTTGGTTTAATTCCAACCAACCCTTGTACCGGTTTGATCATCTTTGTCCCTTAGACTTTAGATCGATCATTGACTCGGCCAAGTCATGCAATTTGTTTGCTAACCATTCTAAGTCTAACGATTGCATATTCTTTGTATCCCTAATCCAACGGCCAATTCCCAAACGTCTATCTTAACTAATAAGTTAGATGCGTTTACATACCTTGGCCTACATGCGGATTTGATTCCTCTTCGATCCGTCTATTGATCCTTCTCTTAGCCCTCTCGTAGCCTTATTCCATTCGTACAACGATTCTTAACCAATCGTGTATTGATGGACCAATCTCTATCGTTACTTAGCCATTCATCCAACCAACCCCACTGGTCTAAGTCCCTACGATAGAGATTGGGGATCGTATGTTTTTCTTGGTTCACGGTGGCCGAACCAAGCTCTTGGCTCATTGGTCCATCCGTCCTCCAAACGTACGCCCCTTCGGTTTCATGGTGGACGATCAAGCCCTCGGCTTATCGAACCATCCATGTTTCCGATCCGGTCGTTTATCACTACGACCGCCCACGGTCTACTAACCGTTTACCCGTCCGGTCCATGGTGGTCATAACGCCTTCGGCTTACCGTTCCATCCATGCGATCCGAACAATATCATTATCACACCCAAGGGTCCGTGGATTCACCCATCGGATTATCGTAGGCTAGCCCATGAAATCATTCGTCCGTTGGCCATTGGTTTGCTCGCGGGTCCAACATCCGTTTTGTCCATCGGTTCTCACCGTGGACTTTCCCGTTGGTTATCCGTCGAGTCACCATTGGTCTTACCGATTTCCGATCGGTTCCACCAAGGCTGCGACGTTTGATTCATAAAGGCGGCCGCAATATTAGATCCTTACATGGTGAGCCACGTCACTTACCCATTCTCGGTGCTTTCTCCCTTTCTCGGGAGATTGCATCCATGGGCGACCCTTGGGTGTGTTCGGTTGCACTTATCCTCGTGCTTCTTCGAACACCTTTCCCTTATACGCCTTCCCAATTAACTTCCCGTTAACCATATCATCTATCGGACTATCTTTGGATTCGTCAATACTTCCATATTGACAATCTTAGATTTGCCGATCCATTTCCTTTTCGTGTCCTTCCCTCGACGATATGATTCATAGAACGGACGATCCATCGACCCCATAATCGAGCTATCGACCCGAACCATCAATCAAGTCGTCGAACCCTTCGGCGGTTCCCATCGAATCCTCGATCATGTAATCCGCCATGTTCCCTCGACAAGATCTCCGATACGTACCATCGGTCATCCCGCCGATCGGTACGATCGATCAATCCGCCGATCTAAGCCTTGATCCGTTTATCCGATCGTACACCTATCCGGTCATACGTCGATCCGACTTGTTGACACGACGATTGATCCGCCTATCCCGGTCGGTCGATCCGTCTGTGCGATGGTCTATCCGGATCCGTCTTCTTCTCCGATCCGATCCATCCGTATGACGATCGGTTTGTCTAATCCGGTCCGTCTCTAAGACGATCGGTCCATCCCATTTATCCCTCAATACATTCTATCGAACCGTTGGATCGGGAGGTAGCATGCGCATCAGTTCGGTCGAGGCTCCGAGAATCCATTCCGATTCCGGAGATACTCGCCGAGCCGCACCCCCTTTCCGACCAACACTTCGTAGAGTGTTTTGGGACTTGTTTTGGATTGTTGTGATGGTAATTATGAATGCCTTGGGCGTCCTCCCTTATATAGGGGGCGAATGGGTGTGTTTCCGAAACATCACATCCGTTCGTTGCACCCTTCCGAAAGGTTGCATCTTTCCGATCGTAACCGTTCGGCCTTATCCACCCTTTGGCCAACGGTAACCATTCGTCGGTAACCGCTCGACCTTACACCTCTTCATCCCGAGCTACCACAGTCCACCAGCTCGAGTGTCAGCTGACCGGACCACCCAGCTAGGTCAGTACTCGATCAGTTCACCGAGCTCGGTTGAGCTGTCGATCAGCTCGCCTAGCTGAGCTAGCTAGTCCTTCAGCTGGTTTAGCTCACCTAGCTGAGCTAGCTAGTTCATCCAGCTGGTTTAGCTCACCTAGCTGGTTTAGCTCGAACGTTCTTCCACGTTCTTTCCGGCTAAGTCTTTCGGTCCGTTTTCTCGGCCTTGACTACGCCATTGCCAATCTTTCCGTGATCATTTCCCCATGATTACTAGATTATCCCGAAACCGTCTAAGTCATCTACACTTTTCATGACTTAAACATTTCTTTCGTTTCTTAGGTTAACTTATTCATTAGTCTTTCTCGACCATGATCTAGTTCTCCCTAAAACAAACCGGTCCCCCTTTAGGATCGCGGGACGCGGGTGTTACAAGTCTACCCCCCTTAAAATGAATTCGTCCTCGAATTCGGCGGGTGTTAGAGTTTCGTTACTCCTTAACGTTTCCCCATCTTTAGTCTTCCCAAGACTTTAGATTCCATACTTGACCAAATATCTATTTCCGAGTTTTATCAAGTTTCCCGATCTTGGTCCTCTCTCGGACTTGATCCATTTTCCCGATCTTGGTCCTTTCTCGGACTTGATCTATTTTCCCAATCTTGGTCCAATTACCGGACTCAATCTATTTTCCCGATCTTGTTCCATTTCCCGAACGCGATCAAATGTTTCCCATCCTAGTCCAATCCCGACTAGAACAAATTTTCGACCTTGGTCCAAATCAGACTCGGTCAATATTTCCCAACCTTGGTCCTATACGGACTCGGTTAATTTTCCCGACCTTGGTCCCCACCGGACTCGGTCACTTTTCCCGACCTTAGTCCCTTACCGGACTCGGTCAATAATTTCCGACCTTGGTCCTTTCCAGACTTGGTTAATAATTCCCGACCTTGGCCCTTTACCGGACTCGGTCAATAATTTCCGACCTTGGTCCTTTACCGGACTCGGTCAATAATTCCCGACCTTGGTCCTTTCCGGACTTGGTCAATAATTCCCGACCTTGGCCCTTTACCGGACTCGGTCAATACCCCTTGATCTTTTTAACGAATAGATCAAGTCTTTCCCGATCTTCGTCAAATTCCGACGAGACCTAATTTCTATTGATCTTGGCCATTCTCCGAATAGATCAATACCTATTTCCCCGTTATGTTAAGTCATTTGACTATAAGGGTCATATCTTGGTGCCCGATCATGCCTTGGGTAATCTTTCCTCAAGCACATCGATCTCATTCACCTCAACTTCCTTATCCGCCAAACACTTAGCATAACATTTTCAACTTCTATAATCAGCCCCCTTTTTCCGAATAATTATTCACTTGCTACACATGTAGTTCTTGCCCCTTGGGTAATCATCTTGGCTTAACCAATTCATCTTGGCAAACTCTCTTGGTTTCCAAGCATGTAATCGCGTTCATGCCTCAATTCCCTTCCGGCTCACCAACACTAATGTTCAAGTTAATAATTTGGTTTTCCGATGACTCAATCATTTAAGTTACACCTTTAGTAGTCATTTACCATGACATTTTCCCGAGCACTTATCCATCCTAGGATCAAGCATGCTCTGATACCAACTTGTAGCGTTCCGTCCCAGACGTCTCGTCGTCCGGCGACCATTGACGCACGTTCGCGCCACTTCCCGGCCGAACCTCCATATTTTTCACGATTTAACATAGAATTGCCTTTACGAGGCTTAATTCTATAATCCTTATCTCTTAACACAGCGGAAGTCTTTATACCCTTGGTCTAATTCCAACCATCCCTTGTACCGGTTTGATCGTCTCTGTCCCTTAGACTTTAGATCAATCATTAACTCGGCCAAGACATGCCATTTGTTCGCTAACCATTCTAAGTCTAACGATTGCATATTCTTTGTATCCCTAATCCAACGGCCAATTCCCAAACGTCTATCTTAACTAATAAGTTAGATGCGTTTACATACCTTGGCCTACATGCGGATTTGATTCCTCTTCGATCCGTCTATTGATCCTTCTCTTAGCCCTCTCGTCGCCTTATTCCATTCGTACAACGATTCTTAACCAATCGTGTATTGATGGACCAATCTCTATCGTTACTTAGCCATACATCCAACCAACCCCACTGGTCTAAGTCCCACGAAAGAGATTGGGGATCGTACGTTTCTCTTGGTTCATGGTGGCCGAATCAAGCTCTTGGCTCATTGGTCCATCCGTCCTCCAAACGTACGCCCCTTCGGTTTCATGGTGGACGATCAAGCCCTCGGCTTAACGAACCATCCATGTTTCCGATCCGGTCGTTTATCACTACGACCGCCCACGGTCTACTAACCGTTTACCCGTCCGGTCCATGGTGGTCATAACGCCTTCGGCTTACCGTTCCATCCATGCGATCCGAACAATATCATTATCACACCCAAGGGTCCGTGGATTCACCCATCGGATTATCGTAGGCTAGCCCATGAAATCATTCGTCCGTTGGCCATTGGTTTGCTCGCGGGTCCAACATCCGTTTTGTCCATCGGTTCTCACCGTGGACTTTCCCGTTGGTTATCCGTCGAGTCACCATTGGTCTTACCGATTTCCGATCGGTTCCACCAAGGCTGCGACGTTTGATTCATAAAGGCGGCCGCAACATTTGATCCGTACATGGAGAACCACGTGCCTTACCCATTCTCGGTGCTTTCTCCCTTTCTCGGGAGATTACATCCTTGGGCGACCCTTGGGTGTGTTCGGTTGCACTTATCCTCGTGCTTCTTCGAACACCTTTCCCTTATACGCCTTCCCGATTAACTTCCCGTTAACCATATCATCTATCGGACTATCTTTGGATTCGTCAATACTTTCATATCGACAATCTTAGATTTGCCGATCCATTTCCTTTTCGTGTCCTTCCCTCGACGATATGATTCATAGAACGGACGATCCATCGACCCCATAATCGAGCTATCGACCCGAACCATCAATCAAGTCATCAAACCCTTCGGCGGTTCCCATCGAATCCTCGATCATGTAATCCGCTATGTTCCCTCGACAAGATCTCCGATACATACCATCGGTCATCCCGCCGATCGGTACGATCAATCAATCCGCCGATCTAAACCTTTATCCGTTTATCCGATCGTACACCTATCCGGTCATACGTCGATCCGACTTGTTGACACGACGATCGATCCGCCTCTCCCGGTCGATCGATCCATCTGTGCGACGGTCTATCCGAATCCGTCTTCTTCTCCGATCTGATCCTTCCGTCCAACGATCGGTCTGTCCGATCCGATCCGTCCGACGATCGGTCTGTCCGATCTGATCCGTCCGACGATCGGTCTGTCCGATCCGATCCGTCTCTAAGACGATCGGTCCATCCCATCCATCCCTCAATACATTCTATCGAACCGTTGGATCGGGAGGTAGCATGCGCATCAGTTCGGTCGAGGCTCCAAGAATCCATTCCGATTCCGGAGATACTCGCCGAGCCGCACCCCCTTTCCGACCAACACTTCGTAGAGTGTTTTGGGACTTGTTTTGGATTGTTGTGATGGTAATTATGAATGCCTTGGGCGTCCTCCCTTATATAGGGGGCGAATGGGTGTGTTTCCGAAACATCACATCCGTTCGTTGCACCCTTCCGAAAGGTTGCATCTTTCCGATCGTAACCGTTCGGCCTTATCCACCCTTTGGCCAACGGTAACCATTCGTCGGTAACCGCTCGACCTTACACCTCTTCATCCCGAGCTACCACAGTCCACCAGCTCGAGTGTCAGCTGACCGGACCACCCAGCTAGGTCAGTACTCGATCAGTTCACCGAGCTCGGTTGAGCTGTCGATCAGCTCGCCTAGCTGAGCTAGCTAGTCCTTCAGCTGGTTTAGCTCACCTAGCTGAGCTAGCTAGTTCATCCAGCTGGTTTAGCTCACCTAGCTGGTTTAGCTCGAACGTTCTTCCACGTTCTTTCCGGCTAAGTCTTTCGGTCCGTTTTCTCGGCCTTGACTACGCCATTGCCAATCTTTCCGTGATCATTTCCCCATGATTACTAGATTATCCCGAAACCGTCTAAGTCATCTACACTTTTCATGACTTAAACATTTCTTTCGTTTCTTAGGTTAACTTATTCATTAGTCTTTCTCGACCATGATCTAGTTCTCCCTAAAACAAACCGGTCCCCCTTTAGGATCGCGGGACGCGGGTGTTACAAGTAGTCTACCCCCCTTAAAATGAATTCGTCCTCGAATTCGGCGGGTGTTAGAGTTTCGTTACTCCTTAACGTTTCCCCATCTTTAGTCTTCCCAAGACTTTAGATTCCATACTTGACCAAATATCTATTTCCGAGTTTGATCAAGTTTCCCGATCTTGGTCCTCTCTCGGACTTGATCCATTTTCCCGATCTTGGTCCTTTCTCGGACTTGATCTATTTTCCCAATCTTGGTCCAATTACCGGACTCAATCTATTTTCCCGATCTTGTTCCATTTCCCGAACGCGATCAAATGTTTCCCATCCTAGTCCAATCCCGACTAGAACAAATTTTCGACCTTGGTCCAAATCAGACTCGGTCAATATTTCCCAACCTTGATCCTATACGGACTCGGTTAATTTTCCCGACCTTGGTCCCCACCGGACTCGGTCACTTTTCCCGACCTTAGTCCCTTACCGGACTCGTTCAATAATTCCCGACCTTGGTCCTTTCCGGACTTGGTCAATAATTCCCGACCTTGGCCCTTTACCGGACTCGGTCAATACCCCTTGATCTTTTCAACGAATAGATCAAGTCTTTCCCGATCTTCGTCAAATTCCGACGAGATCTAATTTCTATTGATCTTGGCCATTCTCCGAATAGATCAATACCTATTTCCCCGTTATGTTAAGTCGTTTGACTATAAGGATCATATCTTGGTGCCCGATCATGCCTTGGGTAATCTTTCCTCAAGCACATCGATCTCATTCACCTCAACTTCCTTATCCGCCAAACACTTAGCATAACATTTTCAACTTCTATAATCAGCCCCCTTTTTCCGAATAATTATTCACTTGCTACACGTGTAGTTCTTGCCCCTTGGGTAATCATCTTGGCTTAACCAATTCATCTTGGGATCCGTCTATTGATCCTTCTCTTAGCCCTCTCGTCGCCTTATTCCATTCGTACAACGATTCTTAACCAATCGTGTATTGATGGACCAATCTCTATCGTTACTTAGCCATACATCCAACCAACCCCACTGGTCTAAGTCCCACGAAAGAGATTGGGGATCGTACGTTTCTCTTGGTTCATGGTGGCCGAATCAAGCTCTTGGCTCATTGGTCCATCCGTCCTCCAAACGTACGCCCCTTCGGTTTCATGGTGGACGATCAAGCCCTCGGCTTAACGAACCATCCATGTTTCCGATCCGGTCGTTTATCACTACGACCGCCGACGGTTTATTAACCATTTACCCGTCCGGTCCATGGTGGTCGGTAAAGCCTTCAACTTATCGATCCATCCATGTGATCCAAACAATATCATTATCACACCCAAGGGTCCGTGGATTCATCCATCGGATTATCGTAGGCTAGCCCATGAAATCATTCGTCCATTGGCCTTTGGTTTGCTCGCGGGTCCAACATCCGTTTTGTCCACCGATTCTCACCGTGGACTTTCCCGTTGGTTATCCGTCGAGTCACCATTGGTGTTACCGATTCCCAATCGGTTTCACCATTGGCCATGGCGATTGATACATGAAGGCGGCCGCGATATTAGATCCTTACATGGTGAACCACATCACCTACCCATTCTCGGTGCTTACTCCCTTTACCGGTGAGATTGCATCCATGGGCGACCCTTGGGTGTGTTCGGTTGCACTTATCCCCGTGCTTCTTCGAACACCTTTCCCTTATACGCCTTCCCGATTAACTTCCCGTTAACCATATCATCTATCGGTCTATCGTTAGATCCGTCGATACTTCCATATTGACAATCTTAGATTTGCCGATCCATTTCCTTTTTGTGTCCTTCCCTCGACGATATGACTTATAGAACGGACGATCCATCGACCCCATAATCGAGCTATCGATCCCAACCATCAATCAAGTCGTCGAACCCTCCAGCGGTTCTCATCGAATCCTCGATCGAGTAATCCACCATGTTCCCTCGACCAGATCTCCGATACGTATTGTCGGTCATCCCGCCGATCTATACGACCGATCAATCCGCCGATCTAAGCCTTGGTCCGTTTATTCGATCGTAAACAGATCCGGTTATACGTTAACCCGACCTGTTGACACGACGATCGATCCGCCTATCCCGGTCGGTCGATCCGTCTGTGCGACGGTCTATCCGAATCCGTCTTCTTCTCCGATCTGATCCTTCCGTCCAACGATCGGTCTGTCCGATCCGATCCGTACGACGATCGGTCTATCCGATCTGATCCGTCCGACGATCGGTCTGTCCGCCGATCCGTCTCTAAGATGATCGGTCTATCCCATCCATCCCTCAATACATTCTATCGAACCGTTGGATCGGGAGGTAGCATGCGCATCAGTTCGGTCGAGGCTCCGAGAATCTATTCCGATTCCGGAGATACTCGCCGAGCCGCACCCCCTTTCCGACCAACACTTCGTAGAGTGTTTTGGGACCCCTTTTGGGTTGTGATGGTGATTGTGAAGTGTGTGAGAATGATTGTGAGGCCCTTGGACGTCCTCCCTTATATAGGGGCCGAATGGGTGTGTTTCCGAAACATCACATCCATTCGTTGCACCCTTTCGAAAGGTTGCGTCTTTCCGATCGTAACCGTTCGGCCTTATCCACCCTTTGGCCAACGGTAACCGTTCGTCGGTAACCGCTCGACCTTACACCTCTTCATCCCGAGCTACCACAGTCCACCAGCTCGAGTGTCAGCTGACCGGACCACCCAGCTGGGTTAGTACTCGATCAGTTCACCGAGCTCGGTTGAGCTGTCGGTCAGCTCACCTAGCTGAGCTAGCTAGTCATGCAGCTGGTTTAGCTCACCTAGCTGAGCTAGCTAGTTCATCCAGCTTGTCCAGCTCACCTAGCTGGTTTAGCTCGAACGTTCTTTCGCGTTCTTTCCGGCTAAGTCTTTTGGTCCGTTTTCTTGGCCTTGACTACGCCATTCCCAATCTTTCCGTGATCATTTCTCCATGATCACTAGATTATCCCGGTGTCGTCTATGTCATCTACCCTTTTCATGACTTAAACGTTTCATTCCTTCCTTGGGTTAACTTATTCATTGGTCTTTCTCGACCATGATCTAGTTTTTCCTAAAACAAACCGGCCCCCTTTAGGATCGCGGGACGCGGGTGTTACATGTTCGTTCTCGGTTTGTTTGATTTGAGTGGAACCACTTCTGAATCTCATCAATTTTAGGATGTCTAACTATTTTTGTGCAGGTAGGCGCCGATGGGTCTAAGTCGCGAGTGAGGGAGTTAGCAGGGATCAAAACGACTGGATGGAACTACTCACAAAACGCTATAATTTGTACTGTTGAGCATACTGTTGAAAACTACACAGCATGGCAACGGTTTTTACCCAATGGCCCAATCGCACTTCTTCCCATTGGTGACAAGTTTAGCAACATAGTATGGACTATGGACCCAAAAGAGGCATCAGATCGAAAATTGATGAACGAGGATGACTTCATCAAAGCTGTAAACGACGCTCTGGATTCTGGATATGGTCCAAATCCAGAGACTACAAGTTCACCGGATAGTCTCTCTTGGCTTACAGGAGATTCGACCATATCTGCCAAAGAGAGGTTTGAAACTCCTCCCAAGGTTGTGAAGCTTTCTTCAGAAAGAATGATGTTCCCTTTGTCTTTAAGGCACGCAAAAGACTATGTGTCAAAGCGTGTGGCTCTTGTTGGTGACTCAGCTCATACTGTTCACCCGTTGGCTGGTCAAGGAGTGAATCTAGGATTTGCAGATGCATGTGCTCTCTCCAAAGCTATATCAGAAGGCATTGCTCTTGGTACCGATATAGGCGAGGTATATGCTCGGATTCTAAGTCTTAAACCACATGTTTATTTTCTCCATTCCTCTGTATTGATTGCCTGAATCTTTTAATTGTAGTCGAATCTGCTCAAGCGATATGAAGCAGACAGAAAACCTGCAAATATAGCAATGATGGCGGTTTTAGACGGAATCCAGAAGATGTACTCGGTGAATTTCGGCCCGCTGAATGCTCTAAGAGCGGCTGCATTCCACGGGGCTCACTACATTTCGCCGCTTAAAAAGCGAATCATATCTTATGCTTCAGGAGATCAATCTTTGCCGCTGTTTTCTTGAAGAACACTAGGGATTGATTGCTTCGGTATCATCTCTTCTTTTGCCTTGTAGAAATTTAATGGTGACTGAAAACTGCTATCGGAGCCCATATTTTAAATAAGCCTGTTATGTAATGTAACCATTGTATTTAGAATTTTATGTTTTAGTCAATAAAATACTAAAATCTTACATTTTCTGATATCAAGACAATAAATTTGAATACTGTGCTTTAAATTTTGATGTCCAACACGGCCACATTAGGAAGGCAAAGTCATTGTTCCATTGCAATTGTGTAATTATTACATCAAGTATAGGTGTTAATGCAACTTAATCAGCTATATATTTCTTTTGTAGTAACTTTAAAATGCAACTTCTATGCACAATTGGACAAAGCTCAACCCAATATTCACAAAAACGCATCCCGGACTATTCTCGCCATTACTCTTGACCCAAGCCGACTCATAATCTCAGGCAGTACTGTGGCAGAGATTCCAGGCAACACGGGAAGCAGTTCCCGAACCACTTGAGATACATCTACAACCTGTTCTATGATGATGACCACATGTAAGGTACTCACAGAGATTGATTGCTCAAATTATGAGAGGTTTTGAATCTAACCTGATCAGGATTATTCGACATGGAGCTTCTTGCGGTAAGGAACTCGATTACTTTCTGAACATTGTTCAAGATGACCTTGTCTTCTTCCGTCACGGATGGAAGAAGTGCTGCAGGCTTGAAGGGTCCCAATGTTGGTGGTAACATACCGAAGACTGGTGTCGCGTTTCTGAATCCGAAGATCGCCATTGCTTGCACCAGCTGTTCTCTTGTGATTGCATCGATGCCTTTAACTATCTGTGTTGAGTAATCACAAAAATTTCAGAACTCAAAGGTGTCATGAATAAGCATGTTTATGAATCATTATGTGATGACTATGAGCTTGTCTACATAGTTATTGTCCAGATGTATCATTCATTGTGCAATAGTTCAGAGTATTTACGTGACAAGACGGAAAAGGGTGGTTAGATTTTGATTAGTACCTCATCCAATAGAAACTCACGGAAGAAGTTCCCTTTCTCCGAAAGCAGAAAGGACAAAGCGACTCTCGTTTGAACTGGCTGGTCCGGTTGAGATGCACTAGCTGGAAACATAGGAACCAAACTGCTTGTCTTACTTTGCATAAGAGCCAGCTCCGCCATGCCTCCATTCATATCTTCCCCTCCTCCACTTTTCGCTGCTGTAATGAAAGTCTCAAAGGCTTGCATCACATCTATGAATCTTTCAGCATCAAAAACGCCAGTCTTCCCATATATTGTGTAGCGTAAAGCCTCTCTCAGGCGAGGTGATTCATCCGTAAGTAGCCGCTAAATTTTGAGGTAACCATATGAAGACGTTAGTTAACCATCAGTATTTTGTAAGATAAAACAATGAATGAGTGGACTGGATAACACTAATAGACTTCATATAGAATACCTGAGCGATATAAGGATAAGCCTCGTCCACAATAGCAAATTCAGGATTCCCCACTAGAGCTATACCTTCTAGCACACCAATTGCCCTAATTATTAGGGCGAAATAAGGGGGAATTCTAAAAGGATAGTCAAAAGTTATCTGTGCCAAATCTGCTGCCAACTCTTGAAAGTTGATGTTTTTTGCTCCGCCACCTTCGAGCGCCTGATCAAAAACCTTGGCCAGGACAGGTAATATAGGTGCTAGATTGACCCCATCAGGGATGAAACCGAGTTTAACAAAATCTTTTACTATGGCATCATAATCTCGATGAATTAAGTGTGCAATGGCTTCAATCATTCCGTACTTCTGATCATCGGTCAATTTGGTAACAAGACCTGTACGCGAACAGATAAATATAAGATGTTAACAAAGTTTTCTCATATCACATCGAAAGAAACTGTGATACTCAAAGATAAATTTTCACTAAATGTAATAATTGGCACTACAATCATTACCAAAATCGAGGATGGCTAGTTTCCCGTCTGGGGTACGAATCATATTTCCAGGATGGGGGTCAGCATGGAAAAAACCAGTATCAAGCAACTGAAGCACAAAACAGTAACAGTGTTAACAAATATATATATACACACACATCATCTTGTTTTTAAAACAGGAGAGAAAGTGTGCGAGCAGAATGACTAGAAAACAGGACAGAGAAAGTCGATACAGACTACTGCTGGTCAACACATTAAATCAATCAAGGGAGTGAGTAAACCTGAGGCACACTACAATGGTACAGGTCCCTGCCTCAAAATCACATTATACTCACTATATAACTGAGAAACTTTGGTTAGGAACATTGACTAGCCATGCTATATAGGAACAACCTAAGAATTATATGTACCATCACTTACATTGGTAAAGAGTTAACTATCTCAGAAAAATTTAGCATATGCATGCCTAGATCTATGTCATTTAGCATGATTGCAGAATAAGCTGAACAAAGCGGACGATTTAATGAAAGTAAGTAAGCTAGGACCACATTTATTATGCTCCGTAACAAGTATGCAGGAAGAGTTACCTGCTTTAGGTAACAAATAACACCAACATTCACAAGTTCGCCGACATCACTCTCAATACTTTGTGACAGTTTCTCCCCATCAATCCATGAGGTTGTAAGAACCTTCCTTGACGTGTACTTTTGGTAGGTTTTAGGTACAATAACCTGAAACAATAATTGTATGATTACGAACCATTCCACGGATGTAAATCCACATAGGTACTTGTTAAATACAAATTTTATGATCGGAATAGACAACAAACTGAAATGTCCATTAGAAAAGTTATGAAGCCTACTTGTGGAAGATCTTTCTTCATCATTTCTGCAAAATATGTTCCATTTTCTCCCTCGTTAACATAATCCAGCTCCTCAAAAAAGCGAGCAGCCCATTCATCAACAAGTCCAACAACATCTACTGACACCTAGACAAAAATTCCCAAGAGAAAAAGAAGATCGAAAGTCATTGAGGTGAAAGAGAACAATTACAGAAGAGCATAAGCTGAGCTGTTGACAAAACCTTGCCTGAGGGAACTTCCGCAGAAATAGACCTAAATTCCGTATTACAAACAAGTCAACAGTCACAGTCTCAAGAACGAAAGGCCTCTGTACTTTTACTGCCACTAGATCCCCATTTTCCTTTAGTCTTCCCTTGTACACTTGTCCCAGGGATGCTGAAAAACCAGGATAACAATAAATCATTTGACATATAAATCTATGGAAATGATAAGGTGAGCATATTAATAGCATGGTCGAGATTTACCAGCTGCGATTGGGGAAGGGGAAAGCTCGGAATAAATGTCGTGCCATGGCTTCCCAAGCTCCTCCTCAATTAAAGCCATTGCTACATCATCAGGATATGAAGGGACCTTCATATGAACAAGAAATTAAACAGAAAACAGCCACATTCAGCTCTGCTAAGGCAGAAAAGTCTTACGGTAGAAAGAAAGATTATATGGCAATAAATCAAGGGAATGGCAACTTGAATTATACCTTATCACACAGCTTCTGTAGCTCTGTCATTGCAGCGGGAGACAAGATATCTGGTCGAATACTCAAAGCTTGCCCAAGTTTAATGTACGCCGGACCCAAGGAAGTAACAATTTCCCTCAATTCAATTGCCCTAGCAACCTCATTCTGAGAATGATGACAGAAAAAAATGAGACTCAAACTGCAAATGAAATAATTGTAAGCTTAAAAAAAAAGAGTTGAAACGTGAGAAAAAAAAATCTTTATACCAAAATTGAACAAAGTACTGCAACTAAATACTGGATGGTTTTCAAACATCTAAATCTATCGATGTAATGCATCAGGGACTAAATAAAGTTATATGTTGATCACATATAGACTTTGCAAAAATACACATCATGGGCTCCATGTTTGGAACGAGGAAGAAAGCACTTGAAAATTTTCTAGTGTTCATTCACAGAATCCTACCTAAAGGAGTTTACATACATAACCTGAATCTTCAAGCTACGAGTACCTATCTTTTCCACTCTTAGCTTCCATCTCTGATAAAAGCAGTAAACAGAATATTTACCTCTTTGACTTTCTTGTTTATTACATCCCCAGCAATACGCGAGAGAAACCCTCCTGCGACCGAAAGCAACTGGATAACTCGAGAAGCAACAGCACGAGGCCGTTTCCCCCAATAGGCAGAAATGGTCTCCGGATCATATACCAAAGGTAAGAACTCACTGCTTTCACCAGTCTACAAAGACCAAATTAAACATTACAATGCTAAAGACAATACAAAAATCGAGCTGAATTGCCAAAGAGTATTACCTCAACAAGCCTTAGCTGAATATTATCATCGGCAAAAACCGAATCCTTCAAATTTTGGCCACGAAGTCCTCTCATTAACACAGATAACTGTTCATCTTCTTCCATTTGAGCTCGTACTCTTTTAATCTCTTTAGATACATCGTTAATTCTCTGTAACATTGCCATAAACCAAAAATTTGAGGTTATAAATTCTACAATCCAATCTAAATTTTCTATGAAATTGCTCAATTCAACCATAACAAAATCGGAAGAAGTAGAAGTAGAATCGTACTGTGGAAACATTGTTGTTGACTCCTTTTGACACAGACGATGGAGAAGAAGAAGATCCGTTGACGGTGGTGGACTTGGATGGACTAGTCTGTGTAGGTTTAGGATCAGTAGCGACAGCTAGAATCCGGCGAGAGCGTTTACTACGGTGAGGAATACCGGAGACGAAGGAGCGGCGGGAGGAAACGGAGAATCGAATTGGCTCCGGTCCGCAATAGACGAGTCGTGGCACTGCTGCTTCCATCGATCGGTAGAGAGATTTGAGGAGATTGTGGTTGTGGTTGATGAAGCAGTGGCTCTTCTACGGCTCTAAGTGGAAGGAAGCGGAGTGTTTGGTATTTCACCGGAAGGTAACGGCAATGGAGGGACCACGTGGCACGACGAAGTTCATATGATGATTTATTTGTTTCCATATTCTTTATTGATTCTGAGATTGTGACATCATTTGTTCGAAAAAAAAGAAATAGAAATGGGAGAATGTAAATTGGGGTGAGAGTGATTCGAAATCTCGACCTCAGGATTACTCGGATATGAGACCTCCGCGTTGGCCAACTGCGCCACCACCCTTTTTGTGCCTTAAGAGCATCTCCAATGCCCAACTCTATAATTTATAGAGTAATCCATTGTCTCTCTCCTCTATTTTAGAG